AATTATTTAAACAAAAGGAGGATGCGAAGGAAAGGAGACACCAAGAGAAATTACAACTTTTAAAGGAATTGTTTGGCAAGAAAGAAAGTCATTAATATATGAGTTTTTTTATAAATTTTTTCTTAAGTTATTTTATAATACGAAACATGTTAAATGATTATAGAAAAATTTGTGAGTTTTCAGTTTATTTCATTATTAATGTAACGCATTAAGACACATTTTCTTTCGAAAAATTTTTTTTAATATTTCTATTAAATAAAGGCAAATTGGAAGCGCAGTTCCAACCAACAGATAATATCTCTTTAAACGAATATTCTTATATTCATTCAAAAAACATAAAGCTTTTATTAAATATCTATTAATTAGGATAAAAAAGTTGGTGCGAAGTTGTTGCAATTTAGTCTGCGTAGCTAAATAGTTTAATATTTTACCTACATTTGTAAGAAGTTGTTTTTATGTAGTACTACAAAGAATGTGTTCTTTAGATTTAATAATTTATGTTATAATTGTATTCATTATTTGATTAAAAGTGTCTTTATTAAAAGATTTATGAAGATTGTTAAAGTGGTAAAACATTTACGAAAATACATTGTCTTTTAATATATTTTATTATGAAATAAAATCTTTTACAATTAATATACGTTTATTTATTTCAAGGAAACATTATCTCAAGGAGTTCATTTCGCTTTATTTCTCCCAATCTACGTAGAAGAGCCTCCTGCTCTTCTCTGATTTCGTTGTAAGGCTCATCCACATTATATTCTAGTTCGATTGGAAAATTGAAATCGTCATTGTTATCAATACATAAATTATGCAACACGCAACAAGAAATGATAAATTTAGAAATTTTATCAACACTATGCATATCTATTTCAATGAGCTGTCGAAAGCGGCCTTTCAGTAGTCCGAATGTATTTTCAATTTTTACGCGTGTAGCACAAAATTTTTTGTTGAACATCTTCTGCTTTTCGGAAAGATTTCCATAATCTTGTTAAATATGGAACAATTAGCCATTCTCGTGTAGGATAGGCTGCATCTCCTAGTATATGATACTTATTGCCTTCACATATTCCTGGTAACGCCTCATATACATCTGACAATTTCAGAACACGTGCGTCGTGAATCTTTGACGGAATTCCTGAAAATACATCGACAAATCTCTTACGGGCATCGCATATACCCTGTAACGTCATTGAAGGGATGTCATGCCTATTCACGTACGTCGATTTAATTTTGTGTGCTGGTGTCCGCACTTTAATAAATGTGCCATCAATGCAGCCAAGCACTTTAGGAAAACCAGCAATCTAGATTTATTCATTATATATATATAGATAATATATAAATAACTCACTATATAAATTCTCTTAAATGTATTTACGATAATCCATTAATGCAATAAAATCTGATGTTAAGTACTTCAAAGAATTCGTTTGTAGTAGTTTCTTTATCCGAAAATTTGATAACGTTGCTAGCTATATCACATAAGAAATCTGTAACTCTATTATTTTGTCGGTAAGTTGTAGCAGGACACACTCCAAATCTCTGTGCAACATCTCTCAGGCACACTTTATTTCCAGCAAACCTACACATATTTTCAAATCGATTTTAATATTTGTTATATGAGTGGCAATTGAATAACTATATATACAAAATAATGCATCAAACTTACCACAAAAATGACAAAATGTGTACTTCAGCAGACGTAGGTTTAATACCTCCGTGACTTTGATCACTACAATAGAATGCTGAATTTTCAAACATATCTACAATTTTATATGCTGTTGTTCGAGAAATTCGAAAATTTTTAAACTGGAACATCAATATAAACATTTGCTTCTAGTTATTTGTTTAAAAGTAATATATACCTACAATAAAAACTAACCTCGTTATCAGAAAAGTTATGTACTACTTCTAAAAAATTTTGTATTTTTGGGATAACACGTTTTTCATTTGAGAATAAATAATCGTCATCATCACTACTAGATGATGACGAGAGGAAATCAAGTACCATTTCCATAGTTTGCTCGTTCAAATTATTTTCACCAATTCGCGCCGCCATATTTTGCACGCAACCGACACCGTCTCTCGGAGCTCGTGCCAGATTTTTGCATGAAAGGGCGAAAACTCGACACTAGATTTACCAATGAAACAGTGCGCACGAAAATCGTGCGCACTGAAATCCCCAAAGAAACACGCATTCCGCGTCTAGTGCGCACTCAGTGCGCACTAGTTCTGCCAATGAAAAACGTCATTAGTGCCGTCGGTTTTCGCTGGTAGCAGGAGCTGGAGCGGATACGTGGCTCTGAGCTTGATACGGAGAAAAAGCTATCGTTACTAACAAAATCCCGGCTTTTATACTCGTTTGTTGCTCCCACTTGTTTTGTTCCGGACGTATTCGCGAGTTCCCGCCAGCTATACAAACGAGTGGGGAACACGCGTTGCGAGCGGGGATCAACGCCGCGAGTTCGGCGGCCCTCGGTAGGCTTCGCGGGCGCTCGCCGATCGGTGTTCCTGGCGTATGCCGACACTGCGATCGGCGGCGTTCGTTCGCTTTCGCGCGTCGTCGGCTGGTCCCTGTGAATTAGGCTATTGATTATGTCTTAAAAACCATGGCAAGAAGGAACTAATACGTTCACGGGTTTTTATTGTTGGATTCGGTCAATGGGTCATTTAAGAAGAAAAAAACGCGGAGTGCTATTAAATTAGAGGGTGGAAATCGGAGATAGGGGTGAAAAAGCACCCTTTTCAGTTTTTTCAATATATCTCGCGAACGAAGCAAAATTTCGATATGCTTTATTAGAAATTTTTTGTAGATAATTAAATTTCCGATCGGAATAGGTTTTTTAAAAAATTGAAAAAAAAATTTTTCATGCCGAACAAGTAGAAACAAAAAATAAAAAAAAAGCAAAAATTTCGAATTTTGCTGTTTTTCTACTTTTTTGACGCCTATCTTTAAACGTTAATATCTCGTTAAATATTGCGTCAACTGCAAAATGGTACAAAACTGTATTGTTCCCCTTGATCCAATCTACGTCCCCATTGTGTTTCGATCCGTTTTTTTGAGACACCCTGTATAAAGAAAAAGAGTACGTAAGGAGAGAAATAATAATTTTCTTTTTTATTACAGTGATTTATTATTTTATTATTATATCATTATTCTATTTTTGTATGTGTGATATTTTTAATTAGAAATGTGACTTTTCATAATTATAAACTATGTAAAAAAATATGTATAACCATGGTGGACATTTATATTTCTTCAATGATGTTCTCGAACCATTTTTCGATATAATCGTCTATATCTTCAGTAACGTCCTCTTCTACGATATCGGCTTCTTGCACATTTTCACAATTGATCCCCATAATTCTATGCAAAATATGGAGCAAGCGATGTTCAGTTTCCTGCAACCACACTTTCCATGGCAACCGGTTGTACATCCACAAGCCACTTTTTGCAGCAAAATCTGTGGCGCAGGAGGTGCTGTTGTGCGAATTGCAATCAAGCCGAATTTCGATTTTTTCCAACCCCAGTTCAGAGGGTTTAAGTTATTTCCATGCCACTGCTGGATTTGGAAATAAGTCCTTAAACCATGCTGTTTGATGGCATCACGTGTTGGTGGTAGTTGCGCCAGAGAAAATGTTGCACTCTTCGACAAGTTGCAAAATTTCTGGAAACGACAGTTTCTTAACTGATTCTGGTTCGACTTTGGTTCAACTTTGGTCTGGTTCAACTTTGCCCCATACAAAGAAACTGAAATATACTCTGATGCAGAACATATTTCTTCTTCAGTTACATTGTCACGTAAAAACGTATCCATGTGTGTTTGTAACTGTATAATGTTTTTATTTATGAATTTCATAAATTTTTTTTTGCCTATGTTGTAAAAAGCTGATGTAGTAGGTATTATGTAGCCAAAGATGTACCTTAAAATATTTATTAATCTTCATTTTAATAATGTTAATCAAATTACCATCAGTCATTTTACCCCGGTCCCGGGGCTAGTTAAATCAGATGGAATGCATTAGAAAAATGCATTTTTTTTCATAGTAATTATCAGTTTTCCCTTATTATTAAAATATTATTAGATAGTCAAATGTATGTAGTAACTGGCGTAGAATTAATTTTTTCGATAAGTCTTTTAATTTCGTCTATAAAAATTCGAAACTAAAAAATGAGTCTACTATCCCCGGTCTCCCCTATCGCAGCCACTAAATGCGTGAATAAATTCAAGGTACTTTTGTTGTTGAGGAAAATTAAAACTGTTTCGCCCATACAATTTTGCTGTTACTTTTCCTACACTTGGTTTAAAAAGATATACATCTTTATATTGTTCTGGCAGAAGTGATAAAATGATGAGAAGGTCTATATCTTAGCCAACAATAACTGCATTTTTTTACTGTGATGCTTTTTCTTTTGCGCATTGTACAATAAGTACATCTGCATCTTCATCCGCTTGCACTGTGTCTATATTATCTTCCTTGAATTTTTTAATCAAATATGAAATAAATTTTTTTTTGTTGCTTTCATTTGATAGAAATTTATCCGGTTTTGAAAGTGGTTTTAAATCATCTTTAATTTGAAGACCTGGGCCAATTTGATTGATTCGACGCAGCCTTTCTGCACTTTTCGTACCAATACTCGGGTTACTGGGATAACCGTCAAAAACTACAGTGCAATCTTTGTAAAAAGTTTTCAGATGATTAATAAATTTTCTACTTATTTCTGCAAATGTCTCATTCGTGTTCCATACGATTTTATGCAATAAGTATCCACCATCAATAACATGATGAATATTATTGATAGAAGTATCTTCAACGGGAGTGAAAAATTCATATAAATCGGATTTTTTATTTTTCCTCATATTGAACCCGTCAAAAATTGATGTTGGATACGGCGCTAATTCAAAATCGAAATACTCTTCGAATTCTGCATCAGAAGGTTTGCATAAAAGCATTCTTCTAAAAAGTGTTTCCGAATCGACAACTACAACATCATCTGAACCTAAACTAATTTTTGAAAATGCACTCTTTAGTGGCAACACTTTCATCTTTTTTTGGAATTTTATGTTACCATATGTTTCTTTAATCACTTCAGGTATAAGAGCAATTCCTTTCTCTTGTGCTTCGTGGCAATCGATTTCCGAACTTCCAATCACGCCAGTGCTGAGTGAAATCAAATCATTTGATTGTACAAAAGGACAGTGCTCTTCAAACCATTCCAATAAAATTTTCACATCATCAGCATCTTTCTGTACTCGTGAAACTCCAGCATCTTTGTGCTGATGCGACGTGCCATCCATTTTGAATTTGCAAAATGTTTCTAACTGTTCAGCAATAACTATCTGCAGTGGAATACTAGTTATCCATCGTGCAGTAGAAGCAGGAGTTACGCCACGTCCATGGGTTAATCCTTCTCTTGAATGAATGTTCCTCATATAGGTTTGTTCAATGGTCATATCCGACCAGATTCCTGAATAAAATTGTTGCGAACGCCGTAGTGTGAAGTATCCTTTGTCAGTATATGAATGATAGTTTTCTTGATTCAGTTTTGTAGATATCGTATACATATCTTGCAGGTAGATGTATGAATTTTTAACATAATTAAAGTGTCCTGCCGTTATGAAAAATGGTATCATTTTTCTAATTGAATTCAAATGCATATTCCAGTCACCACTTCTTTCAGCATGAATAAATTGGAATGATACCATTTCAAAATACTGAACATACAATTTTGCTGTTGGACCATTTTCTTTCAATTCTTGAAGTTTTTGATTGAATTTCTGTTTTAAAAAATTAAGTTGACCATCTGTAAGATTTTCTTCAGTGATATTTAATCCAAGCTAACATTTTCCAATATTTGGTTTTCTGCATCCGAAAATTCAATATCTTTTAAAACGAGCAAAGCTAATGCTAATCGAATTAACGAGTGACATCTTATTGCTCGAGCGGAAGCTTTTCCAGATAGCATTTTGTCTACAGACCCTTTGGCATAAACCAAGCTACATATATCTTCAATACCACTGCCCGCCATTATATATCCGATACAACCAAGGAACGACATAGCTAGGTGAAACCCACCGAGTCTCACTATAACGCTTTTCACACCACAAATTTCGCTGCAAGGAGCAACTATATCTCTGGCTTTGACGAATAGTGGCAAGTCGAAAGTAACTATACAGAAATCCTATCCAGCTGCAGCGGATTTTTCAACGGCTACTTTCAGAGAGGTGTAGATCGTGTCATAGTCGCTTGGAGGAGCATCGATGATCGGCAAATACATAATTTGTGCAAGTTCAAATGGCTTATAATTTCGGGTTAGCAATTCACAATATCCATTCCATCCTGCAAATAATAGCCATGTGTTAAAAATTTCATCCTTTCCTTTGTTTAATAATAGTAATTTAGTTAATATAATTAAACAAATTAATAAATTTAAACGAACCTGGCATTTTATCACCATGTTGCCATTTTCCATAAAACCACGAGCACTCAACGGTATTTACTTCAATATCATTAGTCAACGGGTTGAGATCTTGCAAATTTTCTATCTTTACGGAAGCTATTCCTGGATTAACTTTTTGAAAAGGTAACACATCGATACGGCCAAATTTTCCAACTTCTATACTTGCTGGTATTTTTTGAACCCTCGGGATTACAGACGAAAATAAGTTTTTTATTTTTGGAGTCGTACATTGAATACCAGCCATTGCATGCAGCGTATTACTTCCTGTTAGAGTGCACGTTTGATGATCGACATTATCGAATACAAACTGAGTAAAACCTTGTTGAGACTCATATAAGTATAGATGCAAAACACTTGAAATTTCAAATACTCGAGCCTCTCTGTAAGACGCAGAAAACCCAAGAGCTGACAAAATATCTAAGAGACTGCTGGAACCATATTTTTTTTAATAAAAGAGAACTTAAAGCTATAAGAATAGATAATATGAACGATCGAGGTCTAGTTGCAGATATAATCGCATGTGAGATTGCTGTTATGATTACTCTCCATCGATGTAAATCGCCTCGTTTATTTTTTAAAATAATTGTTTCAAATAAAGTTTGCAAAGTAACTGGTACATCTTCTTCAGCATTTTCAAGAAATGTAATCGGTGACGGATAAGAATCAAGTAAATAAATCTGTGAACGAATGTCTTCCACAATTATTTCCCCTGCAGATTTAACAACTCTTATTCGTTCATCTTCCATTTTTTTTTCTTGTTTTTCATACCACGCTTTATACAAAATTTCGTGGCCTGTATCTTTTAACGATATGATTGGAGATCGATTTTTTAATCTAGTGATTATAATTTCATCTTTATATTTTTCCTTCAACTTATGTAAGATCCATTTATCACTTGGTTTTTCACAAGTATAATCAGCTAAAATCTCTTCCAAAGAAAACTGGCATTCATCTTTGTGCTCATCGAGAAAATTAACTATGTAATTTACGACCATCGAGGTACTGTCATTTTCGCTTTTTGTTAAATGCCCTGTACTTGGTAATTGTAATTTTCGATAACAATTTTTGTGATACCTAGCTTCAAGCGTAGATACATTTCTGACATGTTCAATTCGACCTAATATATTTTGACTTTCGACGTCTATTTTTTTAAGCGAATTCGATGATATTATCCAAACATTCTGAATTTTCTATTAAGTGGACTTCACCTACACAAAAGAAACATTTTTTTTTATCAAACTTAATTCATAATAAATCTAATACATTTATTACATTTATTGCTATACCTGTACGTCTAAAAATTAATGTATTAAACACAATATTTACTTTTGGAATTTACTGATTAATTATTTAAATTTTTCATATTAACTATAATATAGAAATAACAAAATATAATTAAATATTAAGTGTAAATACTACCGTGAGAAAGGCGCCGAGATTTACGTTGATTTTTTGCATAATAAGCAGATCCCGCATTTGTTCCACAAATAACACACAGTTCACTAAAATTAAAATCTACTTTTGCCTTATTTGTTCTACTTGGTGTCACAATTGAATCACCTGATGACAATTTTCTTTTCTTTGCTGCAGCAATATTTGACTCCGAAACGTATGATTTGTAGCATGAAGTGTGCACTTTAATACTTTCGACATCAGTTAACTCGGCATGTTTGTCATCGTTTCTTTTTACACTGGCAGCAGTAACAGTTGCAATACTCTGCGATTTTAGCACTCTATTTGCTTCAGTCGTCAATATATTTTTATCACAAACAAAACACTTCTCCATTGTAAAACATAAATTCCATAGAAATAGACTGAGCTCAACGAATACGAAAAATATACTGACACGTGCACGCTCGAAATGTGAAAGTGTTCGAGGATATCATGCTATCTCTCTCGCTCTTGTACGACTCCTCTTCCCTACCTATTTCGAAGTAGGACTGAGTGGGGGTCCCACTATCGCACGATTTGGCAACCCTGTTTCGAAGTAGAGTTTGTTTTGAAAGAGCAGATGTATAGTACCCTCACTGAAAGATTTTATGAATTTAGGGGTATCGGTAACGTTAAACAAGAATAACATTAAGTGAGTCGACTGTAGATATGGAATCGTACTGAACCGTCGACTACCTGGAATCGTTGACGTTATATTACTGACCTGTTACGAAAATTAAATATATTTAAAATAAGAAATTTTAAAAATATTTTACAAATCAACTTAACATTTATATTAAATTCAAATATAAATTTATAAATCTCCATGTTTAATACACAAAAAAAAGCAATATTAGGGTATATTTAATTACAATTTTGTTTAAAAAAACATCATAGTTACATACATTTCTTCAAATAGTTATTTATTATCAACCAATTTATGTAAAGTAACTTTTTTATTGAGTAAAATAATAATTTGTCCAACAAAATGAGAATTGAAACAATATCAGTATAAAAGGGATGAAAATCGAAAAAAATGCTATATTCGAGCGGCCATATTTGGACCAATTTTAACCTAAAAAAAATTTTTGACTACAGCATTTTAAAGGAAATTTTGTCTACTTTTTTTTCTATGAAGCATTCCCTATACCTATCTCTGACCAAAAAAAAAACAAAAAAGTAGAAAAACAGCAAAATTCGAAATTTTTGCTTTTTTTTTATTTTTTGTTTCTACTTGTTCGGCATGAAAAATTTTTTTTTCAATTTTTTAAAAAACCTATTCCGATCGGAAATTTAATTATCTACAAAAAATTTCTAATAAAGCATATCGAAATTTTGCTTCGTTCGCGAGATATATTGAAAAAACTGAAAAGGGTGCTTTTTCACCCCTATCTCCGATTTCCACCCTCTAATTTAATAGCACTCCGCGTTTTTTTCTTCTTAAATGACCCATTGACCGAATCCAACAATAAAAACCCGTGAACGTATTAGTTCTTTTCTATATGACATAATCAATAGCCTAAATTATGCTTGTATTTTAAAAAAGGTTCG